TATATATAAACTAAAAATTATTTCTTCATATGGTCTTATAATCATTATATTTTAATATAGAAAAAAAATTAAAACCTTGATCCTAAAAGTTTATGTAAGACTTTTAACAGTTATAGTAATTTATACTCATTTTGAAAAATTCGAAATACAACATACACAAAAAAAAATCTAGATTTTTATTATACGATTAATGTAATTGTGTAATTTATTTTAATAATAAATAAATAAACAAAATGAGAAAAAGTATTCAGATTGTTATCAAATCTTTATTGTTTAAAATCATTAATTGTCATATACTCCCTCTGTTCCTAAATAATCCATGTTCTAGACTTTTCACAAATATTAAGAAAACTCATTTAATTTTTATTGTAAATGCATTTTTTTTTGTGAATAATAATTTTCCATAATTTTTAACCAATAGAAACTCAATAAACACCATTAATTTTTTTGAAACTTACAATTTTTCGTTAAATCATTCATTGAAAAGGTAAAAAATGCATCTTTTTGGAACAAATTTTGTTTCTATAATATACATCTTTTAGGAACGGAGGGAGTATATTTTAATCACATTAGGTAATTCCGTATGTTTTATTTAAGGAAAGCATGCGAAACAATAAATATTTGATATATGCGACCAACTATAGTCTACGAAATATTATATTTCTACAAAATATAATTTTTATACTATACATTATATCACATGCTCTAGAATCCTTGGGATTTGAAATAGAAGTCAAAGAGCTATGCCACATAGGATTGGAGTTATTTTTAATTCTTACAAACGATTACAACTTTTTAAATGATTCTCAAATAATATATAGGGGATTAATACAAAGAAGGTGAACAATGCTGATTACCACAGACGTAATACCAAGAATCCGATCAAGATAGTTGACGATGGAGCTTCTGAGATCTCGCTTTATCATTATGGTCTGTTTTACTTCATGAACAGTAATGAGGATAACTGTAACAAGGGCCTGTCGTTGTCTTGTCTGTTAGAACTCTGACTCCTCTTCAAGCCAAAGCTCCGTGAAATTCTCCGGCCATTTCTCCACCAGCACCTAAACCACCTAAATCCTCTTCCCTTGTTTCTCAGGCGACTTCTCTACCTAAATCCTCTTTTCCTATTACTTCAGTCTTCTGCTCCCATGACTTTTCCACCAGGGTCAATGGCACATAAATCATCTTCCCCTGTTTCTCCGATGACTTCTCTACCCGGACCTACACCACCTAAATCTTCTTCCCCTGTTTCTCCAGATTTCAGATCCGGTAATTTCTCCACTGGGATCAATAACTGAACTTGTAACCGGTAAACTTTAAAAAAAACGTAAAATTAATATTTTCCCGAAAACCTGATCAGAGATGGCTTCGGTGTCCATGTGATCGATGGATGGGCGGTCTCTGAGTTCCTGATTATTGACATTCTCATTCGGATCACCCTGCATTAGCGGAGGAGTTAGAAGCTTATGTTAATTAAAAAACTTGTAAAACTAAAGGATAAGGATTACAATGGATGGTACCGTTGGGACAGCAGAGATTGTGGTCCCAGATGTTGATTCAGCTTCAGGGTTCAAGGGTGATAGATTACCAGCATCCTACGTTAGATAGGATTTAAAAAAACGGTTAGATACCATTTTGTAAAGACAGCAAACCGATTAAATTATGGTAATAATATTTTTTTAACAGTTATCACAGGGTTTAGCAGATAACCTCCGTGGTTAGAATCTATGTTCTCTCGTGCTCTGGAGGTGCTTTGGTGTTGGCATCTTGCTGAGAGACATTTCCGTCTACATTTGCCTGCTATGATAGGGTGATTGGTAGGTGTTAAGGGGTAGAAAGTAAGTAATTAGTTGAAGATAAAATATCACCAACCTCTTGATTGTGTGATGATGCTTGAAGGTCATCTAAAATGCGCCTGATGGACTGGTTTACTCGAGGTTCAGGATCGTCAACGGCCATCTCTTCAGCGTCTGCTTCAGCAGTCGCTTCCCCATGTCCACTCACCCTAGGGCTTGTTGGGTTTGGCGCATGGCGTGGTGGGACGTCTGAAATGCTAGGCGTAGAAGATGTTGTCTTTTTCAGGTACTCGACAATGGCCTTTATAACCCCCCTTTTCATCGAATGGATGTTGTCAACAACACATCTTGTGAGTCTTGTCTCCATAGCCTTCATATTTGACTTTAATTGTTGGTCCACGGCCTTAGCTATTCGAGACTCCATAGATGCAAGTTCTTCGTGAAGCTTCCATGAGACGATGTTGGCAATAGGATCAACAGCACCTTGGGCCGGCGGCGGAAGCTCTGATTGCTCACCCATATCCGCGGGAACTTGTTTGTGTTTAGGCTGCTTACCCTTCTGTTTCTGTCCCCTTAACTTTTGAAGCTCGGTTGATGTTATACCTCCCTTGAACATCTTGTTATCAAATAGGAACCCTTCGTTGATGAGCTTCACCATCCTATCTACGGTGGGATCTTCTTGTTCGTCGGGCCATGAGAAGTCATGTTGTAGAAACCACTCCTCGTCAGGGTCGCTCAGTATTGATCTAACAGCCACCTACATGAACATAATAGATTAACCGAAAATGTTTAATGGTAATAAAACATTTATCCAAAAAGTGTTCACGTAACAGTTAAAAGCAACGTCAACAGTTAAAAATTAACTTAAAAGCATGTAATTGTCTACGAAACAGAACTACTATCGCAATTTACAGGGATTTGTACACAATCTAAATTGCATACTCTATACGAGTATGGGACTTAGTTACCTACTTTGCTTTGGGCTACGGAACTATGAAACTGAAAAGTATCATATTTGCTGTAAATCTGGTTCTTAACAGTTAAAAATCCTGAAGTCATAATCTTCGGATACTAACTTTTTACCACTAATGAGGTTTATTGCGTAGTCTATAACTGAACTAGCACACAGTCTAAGGAAATTCCAAATTAATCTACGAGTAATAAGGTCCCCATCTAAGTAATTAAGAAAGTTACAGATAACGTACTTGTTTCCCGGGAAAGTATTTCTTTACGGCTAATTATAATATTACCTTTAATAAACGATCATTAACTAATAGCATTGTACACAGGGGTGACAAACTATTCCATAATCAAACAAGTTTAATACGCATTCATATTCAAAGTCTTAGCATTAAATAATCGTTAAATCAGTAACAATTATGTTTAACGGTAAAAATATTCTTGACGTCACTAACCTGGCACTCTGAATTGATTTCTCTCGCATTTTGCGGGTTGACAATAAATTTGTCGGAAGATGGCAAATCCTCCGCGTCCCCTTCCTCAACTACAGGCGGTGCTTCCTCTTCCGCATCCATTTCACCCTCGCTTTCGGAAAGAACAACAACAACGGGAGCAGAGTGAACCACCTCTTCTTTCAAATCAGGAACAGCGGCGATAAGCACCAGTTGAATGGCTTCAACATATCCCCTTAGGGCAAATGAATCTTGCGCTAGTGAGACTGCATCCTTCTTGAGTAAGTGATTCGCAAGATTTTGAAAGGAATTCCTTCCCCAAGGGAGAGCGAGGAACTCATCAAGTTCTCTTATCATCTCAACGTGCTCCGGGAGAATCTTCGGCGAGTGTGAGGTTGGGACTAAAATAGAAGCGGTTATTGCTAAAGACGCGATTTTGAGACGAGTATCCTTATCCTTAACCTTCCTTGTCTTCAGCATATCAATCACCGTATCCACACTACAAGACTTGAGCGAACCAAACAAGTCATTCCAATAGAGCTTCTCGTGTAGAGGATTCTTCCTTTTCTTACGCTTTGATTGTGGAACCCTATCACAGTTGAGGCCGGTGACGATCGCAAACTCTCTAAGAGATATCCTTATTGGGTATCCAGCAAAAACAAGCCAAATCTCGTATAGCTTGCGGGTCTTCAGCATACGAACACAAACAAAGTGACAGAACGCGCCGGAGAAAGGAGGATTATCATCGAGAGAGAGGACCTTCGAGAATTGAGTTTTCTGGAAAAAGGCTAACTCGTCTTCGTCTAATGCTTCAATTAGTTGCTCTGTTCTTCGATACTTGTGGTAAGAGACGACTCTGTCGCCGACGGGTTCATCACCACATGCAAAAAATCGTCTAGGAAGGTTGAGATCGGCCATTGGAGAATTTTTTAGAGCAAAGTCGGTTGCTTTTCTGTTTAGAAAACAAGATTGACAGTAGTGGGAAGATGGGAAGTTGAAATGGAGAGGGAGGTTACTGTTCGGAGTGGTGGGATAGATTTTCTTAGTTATGGAAAATAATGACGAAATTCAAATTTCGAAAATAAACAAGCATGCATGAGATTTTACTGGAAAACCGAACGGTTGACGGGAAATAACTCACGCGTGGGTGGCGCTCTGACACAGCTACCCGTAGGCGCGTTAGTCTACGAAAATAGGTGATCAATACACGCAAGGGCAAAATCGTCCGACGAAAAGCAACAATCAAATCATGGTTATTTCGCTAATTATAGGTGCCAAATAGTATGATTTATATAATTTATTCTTTGTTGGTTTAGGTTTTTCTTTTGTCCTAGTTAATGTTCGTACTTTTTAATAGGAACTTGTAATCCATATATAAAGGTAACCCCTTATACTTTATGGAATAAGCAATACACGAATTCCACTTTTCTTTTTCTAAATTTTACTCCTTCTGTTTCATTACAAGTGTCATTTTAGAATTGGACACACGGATTAAGGAAACAATTAATTTTACATATTTCCTATATAAAAAACACAATTATCTATACATCTAATCACATTTTAACCAATAGAAAAACAAATTATATAATAAAATTAATATATGTTGCAGTGAAAATTGAAAACATCACTTATTTGTAACGAATGAAACGGAGTCAGTAAACATAACTACTGTTTTAAAGGAAATTTAAAAAAAAAATTCTTTAACTTAGAAATTTAAAATTCGTTTCCCTATTTCTATTACCAACGCATATCAAAGTCTCTCTCTCCCCCCCCCCCCCCCCTCCTTCATTACGCACGATTTCTGTCTGGCAATGCTGTTTCGATGGCGACCTCATTTTCTATTCATTGATCCCACAAAAGTCCTTGGAGAAATCATCAACCTCGCGTAGGGTCCAGAAACCATCAAAACCATGGGTCTCTGTTTCTCCTCCGCCAAAGTCTCCGGCCGCCGAAACCACAGCCCCCGGAGTCCCAATCCCAATCCTCTCACCGTCGCTAAACACAGACCGCCTCAAACGCCATGTTCATTCTTGGCCGTTACGATTCAAAAAGACCACAGGACCCAACCGCGACGATCCCCAGCGACGACCAAAAAAACGCCGCCGCAGACGCAAACGCGACAGACGCCACCCCACGGGAAGGCTAGAGAGAAGGCTGGCAACAATAAAGGGAAGAGACACGGAGAAACGATCCCTTACGGTAAACGCGTCGATTTCGGTTACGCTAAAGATTTTGATAACCGTTACACCATCGGAAAACTTCTCGGACATGGTCAGTTCGGTTATACATATGTCGCTACAGACAAAAAGACAGGAGATCGTGTTGCCGTCAAGAAAATCGACAAGGCCAAGGTAACATTTTCATCATAAATAATAAATAAATTGGGTTATTTTGTTTCTTGAGTTTAACGCAATGGATTTGTCTGGTGGTCAGATGACAATACCGATAGCTGTGGAAGATGTGAAGAGAGAGGTGAAGATACTACAAGCTTTAACTGGTCATGAAAATGTAGTCCGGTTTTATAACGCCTTCGAAGACAAGAACTCTGTTTATATAGCCATGGAGTAAGTTAAACGCTTTTATGATCACATTTACTCTTTCTTGCGGTGCAAGGAAAATAAAATGGCAAAGAAAACATTGTCTTTCTTCTGTTTCTAATTAGTTTTGTCTTTTGATATGATGTTTCCCTTCAGGTTATGTGAGGGTGGTGAATTGCTGGATCGGATATTAGCCAAGTAAGGTCTTATCTGAGTAGTACATTTTAGTTTTTATAGTCTTAATACTTTTTTTGATCTCAAAGCCACCTTTTGGTTGCTATTTCTCTAGGAAAGAAAGTCGTTATAGCGAAAAAGACGCGGCCGTGGTAGTGAGACAGATGCTACAAGTTGCAGCTGAGTGTCATTTGCGTGGTTTGGTCCACAGAGATATGAAACCAGAGGTATAGTATAATAAATAGTATCTTCAACATCACGTTTCTGAATTTGTGGTTGATTTTAACTCAAAACTTTCTGTTTAAAACCAACTAGAATTTTCTGTTCAAATCAACTGAAGAAGATTCACCTCTAAAAGCTACAGACTTCGGTTTATCAGACTTCATAAAACCAGGTTTGGGTTACGAAGTTTGCCTTACATATACATATTTCTTTTTTTCCATCTCTATGATCTAACTGTTGTATAAACCAAAATACAGGGAAAAAGTTTCATGATATCGTAGGGAGCGCGTATTATGTAGCTCCTGAAGTGTTGAAACGCAGGTCTGGACCCGAGTCAGATGTGTGGAGTATCGGTGTTATCAGTTATATTCTTCTCTGCGGGAGACGGCCTTTCTGGGACAAGACTGAAGATGGCATCTTCAAAGAGGTTTTGTGTAGTTTCCCAAAAACAGAATGATAATAATATTTTCTTGTTCTTTAATTCTGAATTGAAAGATGTGTTTGTACGTCTAGGTCTTGAAGAACAAACCCGACTTCAGAAGAAAACCGTGGCCAACGGTTAGCAACAGCGCCAAAGATTTCGTTAAGAAGTTGTTAGTAAAAGACCCTAGAGCTAGATTAACAGCTGCACAGGCGCTATGTAAGAACATTTTCTTAGTGATTTTGTTTTCATTTTTGTATCTTTCTCTGAGGATAGTGGTTATTGCAGCACATCCATGGGTTAGAGAAGGAGGAGATGCAAGTGAAATTCCCATCGACATATCTGTTCTCAACAACATGCGTCAGTTTGTGAAATTTAGCCGCCTCAAGCAATTCGCTTTAAGGGTATTTAAGAATAGAGATTGTAGTTTGGTTGTGTGTTATTATAACATGAGGTGTTTCTGTCTGTACTAGGCTCTTGCCACAACGCTTGATGAAGAAGAGTCGGCTGATCTTAGAGACCAGTTTGATGCAATCGATGTCGATAAGAATGGCGCCATTAGCCTTGACGAGATGAGGCTGGTAAAAGTTGAAAATAAAACGATATAAACGTCTTAATTACTACCAAAATGCAACACACCAAATACTGTACACTTTACATTAAAATATTTTTTTTTTCATAGGCTCTAGCAAAAGATCATCCTTGGAAGCTTAAGGATGCACGAGTGGCAGAGATTCTTCAAGCGGTAAATATCAAGCTAGTTGATGATGGTGAGATTCTTCTGTTTAAATTAAGGTGCAAGTTGTGTTTGATGCTGCATGCAGATTGATAGCAACACAGATGGATTTGTGGATTTCGGAGAGTTTATTGCTGCTGCGTTACACGTAAATCAATTAGAGGAGCATGATTCTGAGAAATGGCAACAGAGATCAAGAGCAGCATTTGAGAAATTCGACATAGATGGAGATGGATTTATAACAGCAGAGGAACTTCGAATGGTTTGTATTTTATCTAAGTATTATAACTTTACTATGCTTTTTAAATTAAGTAAATTAGTGTCACACTATTGTTTTGTTTCTTTTGCAGCATACTGGCTTGAAAGGGTCCATTGAGCCACTTCTTGAAGAAGCAGACATTGATAATGATGGTAAAATCAGTCTCCATGAGTTTCGTAGACTTCTGAGAACTGCAAGTATCAAATCAAGAAATGTTAGAAATCCTCCAGGTTATCTTGTTTCTCGGAAAGTCTAAAAGAAGTTTGCAGTCCTGGTGAGGAAAGAAAAAATCAAGGATCGAGAAAGCTTTTTATCCCTTATGTAGAAGAAAAAAAGATAGGGAATGCAGTGTTTTCATGTGTTGTTATAACTTATTTTCATATATTTTTATAACCATTGACAAAGAAAAGGATATTCATACAACTAATTAGCGCAATGTAATGATGAGTTTATTTTGTGTGTATAACTTTGTTATTGCTAATCTCTCTTAATCTTAAATGATTAATAATACTTCGTATATGGTATCTATTTATACCAAACAACGTCATCGTTAGTTCGTAATAGCATACGGATTATGTTTAACACTCTGCTCGAGACGAGAAACTATCTCTATTCTTCACATATTCCCATCCAGTGCAAGTATGGGATTCACTGATCACTCAAGAGATACTGAAGAACATATACACTACAAGAAAACAGCGATATTCCGATGGCCAATTTCCTCGGAATATCGTCGGAATACACGTATTCCGAGGACATTCCGAGGAAAAAGGTCGTCGGAATTTTTTCGTCGGAAAAAAATATTTCCTCGGAATTTCGTCAGACACACCGACGAAATTCCGAGGACTTCCGATGGACCAACATTCCGACGAAATTACGATGGACCAACATTCCGACGAACGTTTCCTCGGAATATTCTGACGGCTGCTTCCTCGGGATATTCCGATGGTATTCCGACGGGGGTTGTCATCGGAATATTCCGAGGAAGTGCATCCCTCGGAATATTCCGAGGAAACGTTCCATCGGAATATTCCGAGGAAACATTCCGTCGGAATATTCCGAGGAAACGTTCCGTCGAAATATTCCGAGGAATCGTTCCGTCGGAATATTCCGAGGGA